GGGACCGGCGGCGACGTGCCCGCGAGGAAGCGCAAGGAGCCCGGTGTGGCGGCGGCGGGGGGGGCGGCTAAGCTGGCCAAGCCGGCAGCTGACAGTAACCCGGCGCTGCTGGAGGCCTTCAAGGCGGTGGTGGCAGCCGGGGGCAGCGACTGGCTGGACCCTGAGGCTGTGGCCGCCGTGGTCACGGGAGACCCCCCAGACGGTGCCACCAAGTGTGAGAAGAAGGTGCCGGGGAGCCCAAAGGCGACAGAGCCTGAGGCGGCCGCATCCAACCTGGGGGCACCTGCCTCCCCCACACCCCAACCCAGCGCCGAGGCCAGTGCCACAGAGTCATCACCTGTGCTCCAGCCGGATCCCAGCTTCAGCAGCGTGGCACTGGGTGAGTGGGTGCTGTGGCTGCGGGGGGGCGGCCACCAAGTCCCCAACCTGGCTGTAGCCCAGCTTGACATCGCCTAACCAGGAAGGAGGCTCCAGTGGGACAGGGCAGGGTGGAGAGCACAGGGTGTGTTCCTGTCTCCAGTCTGTTCATGTCTACAGTTTTGCTGGGCAGCGTCTGCCTGATCCTTGGACTCATTCGTGGGCCAGCGGGTGCTGTCCAGCACTGTGCCTGGCATCTGCCCTCGGTTGCTTGTTCTGAACTGTTGACCTTCGGTCCTAACCCTGTTGTCTTCGGTTGTCCCCAGTAATTGCTCTGTGCACTTAGTGGCCCCCTTATTAAGGGAGGCTTTTAGCTGTGCTTGGTCAGCATTGGCCCACGTTCCCAATGCACATCAAACGGGCCTGAAGGAGATGGCAGGGGTTGGGGGAACTGACTTTTTTTTCCAGCTAAATTGGTAGTTGTCAGCCTTGTTTAGGTGCAAAGGGACCCCGGAAAATGCCAATTCTTTGTCTTTCACTTGTATTTTTCTATGGGCAAAAAAACCCAACACGTTTCTGTTGCAGAGAACTCGGAAAGCCCATGGCAACTCAGACTGTTTCTGATGCTCCTATTTGTAATCTCTGGGTTTATTTTGGTGCCACAGTGGTTTTGTAGAAAGTATGCAAGAGCCAATGATTTCTTAGGGTACTGTGTTTTATTGGATCATCTGCATAGTTAGGAGAAAGCTGGACAAGCTTTACATGCAAGAGGTTCTTCCCCAGGTCTCACGTTGAGGTCTCAGAGACTCGAGGAAGAATGTCTTGCATTCAGAAGCTCCTCTAACCTCTCTCCCAATTACATAATTGGTCCAATAAAGAGTGTCCTAAGAAATCCTTGTCTGTGTATGGGTTTGTCTTGTGAATCATGTGGGCACACCTAACAGTGCAAATATTACATGGCAACCTTGAAAGGGTCTCAGGGCACTCCAGGGAATCCTGGTCAAGAATCACTGGTCTTCATCTATAAAGAAAACTTCAAAATATTTTGTGGCCACAAGCAGAAAGAATCATGTAGGGCTTTTGGGGAGTTGTATGTTTGTGTGGGTTTTTTTTGGTTTTTTTTTCCCCCCCCCCCACCCCCCATGGAGTCTTATTCCTCTTTCATATTAGGGATGGCAAAACCAACTTTATTTCTA